TTCTTTTTGGCGGGACAGAATTTCAGAATATCAAGCCTCTAATGTTCTTGAAAACAGAGCAGGGTGAGATGCCTCTCCCGCTGGTCACGGTTGTAGAAGACTTTGAGGTTGGACCATGCTTGTACGAAGGTGAGGAATAACATGTGTATCCTTCAAAGCAAACCAGTGAAGTAAGTCATTTTTAGTCCCACTTTGCAAATGAGAATGTGAGGTCAAGAGACGGAGGTCATTTGGTGTTTTCTCTTCTTTTTCCCTCTCTTTCTCCCTTAGTCCTGCCTGGGTTTTTTCCTCTGTGCCTTTTGGGTTTGGGGGTCAGTGTCTATTGGGCTTTCCTGCTTATTTGATTTTCTCTTTCTTATATGCATAGAATTACACGTGGCAATTGGATGGACAGCGAAAGGCCACTTTCTAATTGTGTGAAACTTTTATGGAAGAGTTCAACTGGAAAGGGCCATATCGAAAGGAAAGGGGGAAGGGAAGTCGGGGATTGAATGGGGACAGAATGTATAAAATAAGCTGCTTAAAACTAATGTTATTGGATGGCATGTATATACTAAAATCCATCAAATGTAATTCATAAAAGAAAGATGGAGACAGCTGAGCCTCCCTGCTGTGAGCTGATTCAAACAGTCCCCCCCCCCAAAAAAAAAGCATATGGCACATTGTGCCCAAGACTCTGCCACTTCCAAATGCTGGTGGGATGGCATGTAGGAATATTTCTTCTTACACCAAGAACTTCCTGCACATGGAGAGATAGCAAGTCAGGAAGAGGACTCGATCTGAACTCATTTCCATTATGTGCTGGGTTGCCATACGTAGGGCGATTTTAACATGGGTTAAGTATTCAGACATAGGATTCTCCACCTGTATTTCCCAGTTGTATAGTCCCAGTTAGGAGGATATTACTACATTCACATTCTCAGTGTTTAAAATTGCTGGGACTTTGTGGTGGAATAAGATGTTCTTTCAGCATCACCAAGCCCACGGGGCTCTTCTCCGGAAGACGGGCCTCTTTGGAGTCTAGGGCTGCCAAATGCTCCCGGGGGGCGGAATTTCCCCCGGTTTCGGGGGAGCCTCGCTGGGGTCCAGGAGTTCTAGATGGACGCGCGCGCACCGGCAGCACACATCGTCAGCAACGTCACCTCCAGTGACGCAGCTTCGGGGGCGGAGTCCCCCCCGGGGCCCGATTCCGCCGCGGCGGAAATCAGGTCTCCGAAGCGGGGGATTCCCCGGCCCCATTTGGCAACCCTACCTGGATGGCGCAAGTGAGCCCCGATCTCATCAGACCTTGGAAACGAAGGAGAGTCAGCACTGATGGGTATTTGGATGGGAGACTGCCAAGGAAGTCCAGGGCTGCGACACAAAACGCTGTTACCTTCCCACTGAAGTGGTACCTATTTATCTACTTGCAATTTCTTGCTTTCGAACTGCTAGGTTGGCAGGAGCTGGAACTAGAGACGGGAGCTCACTCCGTCATGCGGCAACTCGGGTCTTGAACTGCTGAACTACCGACCTTCCACAGCCTGCAGTTCAGCGTCTTAACCACTTGAGCCACCGCAGCTATCCCAAATTTTCACCATTATAATTTTCTCCCTTAAAAAAAAAAACCCTGCTTCAGTGAATTGTACATTGTTTGGTGTCATTATTTTCTAGAATGCATCCCCAAATGGCTGGGATTGTTAAATAGATGCTGTTAACATATTTCAAACATATTAGTATTTAGCTTTAAAAAAAAAAATCCCTCAGTTCTAACTATAGCAGGTTATCAATGAGTGAAGCTGCCCAAGGATATGGCGGCTTTGTCTGCATTAGAGACTTTTCAAGACAATGCTGTGTGTTTAGTTAATTAAATAACATAACCTTATGATCGTTTCATTCTTACTCAACAAAGAGTTCTTTAGGTGATGCAGAGTAAAACAATAAACGAAAAACCAATAAAGCAACCTAAAAATCATTATTTAAACATGATACAAATACTAAAACCACAGCATACAATATGTCATTGTGAAGGAGGAGGAGAATCAGATATTTGACTGGTCGATGGTGTTCTGCAATTCGAGATTTAGCCGAGTTCTTGAGAACTGCAGAACTGGCAAAGAAGCCGCGTGGCAAGCGTTCCATGTTTGTGCACATGCGCAGTTCCACGGAGCAGCACTGCTTCCAGTTTAGTGTTTGTGCGCATGTGCTTAGGGAAACCATCTGGTTTGCGACGGGGCTCGGACGGGCGCCGGAAGCCATGGGATACTAGCGCTCCCACGATCAGACGCCCGCCCCTGCCACGCGTTTTCCAGATACTACTGCACTTTCTGAGGTATTTTTTTACTGCATGTCTTCGGCGGGATGCCACGGGTTGGCTACGGGCGCGCTACGCTTCCCAGATGTTGCAGTGTGATCGCGCACCGAAAATCCGCCAACCATTCATGCCTTTAGCGTGGCAAATCCTCCGTGTGAACGGGGCCTAACTGTATAAAAATCTAAAATAGGCTTTTTATTTTTTGTGCCATCAGGTCACAGCTGACTTATGGCAACCCTGTGAGGTTTTCAAGGCAAGAGACATTCAGAGGTCGTTTGCCATTGGCCAGCTCTGCACAGGAACCCTGGACTCCCCTTGGTGGTCTCCTATCCAAATACTGACCAGGGCCAACCCTGCTTAGCTTCTGAGATCTGACAAGATCAGGCTAGCCTGGGCTACCCAGGTCATGGCAAATAGCCTCTACAACCATTTTTAGAAAGACCAAACAAGGCAGCAGCCATTAAAGCCAACGGAACGGAGCTAAACCCAAAATCCATTTTCTAAGAGGAACAAGGGGGTGGGGCAAAGCAGACCTCCACTCCCCGCCAGATTCCTTGGGATAACAAAAATAATTTTAGGAGTGTGTGGCCTAACATGCAAAGAAGTTCCTGCTACAAAAAAAAGCCCTGGGTTTTGACAACAAACAAGGTAAACAGAATAAGAAGCAAAAGGTGGGTGTGGCTGGATGACCACACTTCTGGTAACATGGAGGCCTAATATGCTAATGAGCTGTACTGTCAGGTGTGTGACCTAATATGCTAATGAGTTTTTTCTGTTGGGTGTGGCCTATTATGCTAATGAGAACCTTCTGGAGACACACTGGTTCTGGTCAGGGAAGGGGAAAGCAAGCAGCCGTCACCAAAGGACCAGGGAAATAAAATTGTCTTTACCTGAATGCGAAAACTCATAAGCATCAGGCAAACTGGTAATCTGGAGGGATTCTTAGCTGCCTTGCAACAGGGATGGGGAAGAGCCACTTCCCTTCTCTTCACTGTCAAGTCCACAGTGGTCCTTTCAGGTCCATTCGTGTGGCTGGATGACCACACTTCTGGTAACATGGAGGCCTAATATGCTAATGAGCTGTACTGTCAGGTGTGTGACCTAATATGCTAATGAGTTTTTTCTGTTGGGTGTGGCCTATTATGCTAATGAGAACCTTCTGGAGACACACTGGTTCTGGTCAGGGAAGGGGAAAGCAAGCAGCCGTCACCAAAGGACCAGGGAAATAAAATTGTCTTTACCTGAATGCGAAAACTCATAAGCATCAGGCAAACTGGTAATCTGGAGGGATTCTTAGCTGCCTTGCAACAGGGACGGGGGAGGAGCCATTTCCTTTCTCTTCACTGTCCACAGTGGTCCTTTCAGGTCCATTTCACAAGTATAAAGTAAAGGTTTCCCTTGCTCGAAAGCCAGTCGAATCCAACTCTAGGGGGCAGTGCTCATCTGTTTCCAAGCCGAAGAGCCAGCGCTGTCCGAAGACGTTTCCATGGTCATGTGGCCGGCATGACTAAACGCCGAGGCACACAGAATGCTGTTACCTTCCCACCGAAGTGGTCCCTATTTATCTACTTGCAGTTTCTTGCTTTCCAACGGCTAGATTGGCAGGAGCTGGGGGCAGAGGCGGGGGGTCCCCCCCGCCCACACACACAA